AGCTTTCGAAACTGTTTAAAGCTTCATTGTATGTAGCAGGAATATTTGGAAATTGTACCATAACTTCCTCTGCTTCTTCACCCATGTATGTGAGAATATCTATTTTCTCCTTTTCTGACTTGCCTATTTGTCCTGACACTGACATGAATTTTTCGAATCTCTTCCGCCATGCTGGCCATGCTGCTGCTGAAAAAAAAAAAAAAAATTCTCTGGTGGACTGACATTTATTGGGGTCACTATTTTGAAGTTATTATATACTTGCCCAGCACCTTCAGACGGCGCTGCTACGAATGGATTCTCTTCAGAGTCTGATGAGGACATGATGAGTGTTTTTTTTTCTTGTATGATTTCAACAAGTAACTAAGTAATAGTTTATTTTATTTTATTTTTTTTACCAATACTCATAGGAAGTGGTCCAAGCTTCACACAGAAAACACCCGTGCTGCCACCGTGTAATGTTAGCGGGTTCTTCGACATAAACACTTTATAGTTTGTAGAATAATTACAACTTTATTGACTTGAAACAAAGGTACACTTCCGAGAGAAGACCGGTCATTTAAACTAAAAAACCTTCTGCCCAGCGGCCTGCTTCTCCTCAGGACGACGATTCTCGAATCGTGTGATCCCTGTTCTCATAGGAAAAGTAGGCGTGGTTCTATTAAAATCTATTACGACGTATTCTCGAAATTAGGCACCGTTCACTTCCTATGAAAGTTGGGAGAATTTTATTCTACTACTTTTTTTGAAGAGAACGTCTGTTCTCGGGAGAACCAAACGTCAAACATGCGCTTTTTGTCGATGCTACAGTCATCCACTGTATTTTTTTGTTTGTTTTGCGAATCATTCATTATCAGTAATTGCCAATTGGGTACATTTGCATTTAGTGTTGAAGTGGAAAATACGGTCCAATACGAAAACGTGGGGTGGAAAACCATGGAAGCTGGGGTTATAGGAAGAATTATTGTACTGAATGATCTACTAGATGCAGAAGAGCAAGAAGAAAAGCCTATAAGGAGATTTTACAGAAGAGAAAATCCTTTTGATTTAACGGATAATTTCATAAAACTATTTAGATTAAGCAAAGATCTTGCTCGAAATTTAATTGATTTATTGACACCTTTCATACGGACTCCAACTAGAACATCATTAAAAACTGTGGTAAAATCGGAGGTAAATTTTCCACTTTGAAGTTTCTCGTTTTGCCTTACAAATTCAATGAGCATTTCTTTTTGAGTATGATTTATAGGTGAACATCTTGATTTTTCCAAATTCATTTTCCACATAAACAAAACAACACGAAAATGAAAATTGGAAATAGAATAGAGAGTTATTGAACGTGCATTAAGGACAAGCAGTATTTAAATTAGCCTTATTTTGACGTGATGTAATTTCACTCAGAGAATTTGTTTACTGAGCTATTTTTCTTCCATCAAGTGTTAATGTTCTGTGGTGTTAATTTGTACAGCTTAGATTGACCCAGTTTTCGTGGTGTTTCTGTGAAAACTTTAATTTTTTTAACATTTGAATTTTGAAATGTGAATTGTGAATTTACAACAAAAATACAATTGAAATTTTGGCAAAATTTAGATTCATGGTTCAAAGATATCTCAAAATTTGAAGAAAAACACCTAATGAGGCAACGGTGCACGTTTGAAGGATTCCCTCCACTTTAAAATAATAAATAAAGGCAAAAAGGGACAGGCAGAATTCGTCCTCTAATATAGGAAGGCAGTATTTTAATAAAGGATGCCGTATTCGAAAAATACATCTACGCATGCGCAAATGTCAAAATAGCGTCGCTTTTATTATTGCCTGCCTTTATTTGACTTCCAATATCTCTCTACTTGGAGAAATAGTGCTGATGCACTAATAAACTAATGTAGATTCTTAATATTGCGAGGCAGTATTTAATAGTTCCTCTCTAATTGATTAATGATTTGATTTTCAGTAAATAAATAAAGAAAGAATGAGGTTACGTCCCAAAATACAAATAAAACCAATAAAATATAACAGATTTTCTTCTTTCTCATGACATTCGTCCTTTTAACGCATTAAAATTGTGGGTAATTCTACATAATATTACTGTTGGCAACAACGCATTATGATTTGACAAGTTTTCTCTCATTCTATCATAATCCCATACATTCGAGAATACCAACTTTAGCATCAAGAGAACGAGCGTGCGATGTGACCTCTCACTTCTCTTTCTCACTCACGTTCACTTCTACCAAATTCGAGAATCGACTACCAGTTAGGTTAACTCCCCTCCCAATATCCTTGGCTCATTTCACACCGATCAGCTGTTGTAGGTTGCAGTGTTGCCATCAGCCAAATTTACTGACAGAACAATAAACACATAGGTATCTATACTTGTATTTTAATAATGATCGTTTTATCCGAGCTTGGTTTTCTGTAGGTACTAAATATAATTATTTTTATTTACATTATCGAATATTTTCACGCAAACTTGGTGGCAGTGGTCTATTCGGCGTCGGCGACACGCGGAGCGATGGCTATGATATCGTTCGGCATCTTTCAGAGCTCCGTCCTGTCTGCTCCCCAGACTCTTGTTGTAACAGGGTGTTAATAAATAGGGGGATCAAACTTCTAGGATTAATAGTATTCATTAAAATAAGAAAAAAAGTAAATAGAAAAATGGGTCCTCGAATGCTTAGTTTTCAAGATACAGGGTGTCAAAGTTTGAAATAAAATCGGTTTTTTAGCTCAAAAATCCCTTTTCCAATTTTCTTTTTCAAATTGGGCAGGTTTGTTTGTGATAACAAAAGGTATCTTTAGAGTTTTGACTGTAATATAACTTAATCTGCAAAAATATCAAAGTTATAAAAAAATAGTGACATGCCATTTTTTTCTACTTTTACCAACGTAGTTGTCCTTTGGAGCGCCACTGGAATAATTACGGTAAATCTGATTGAATCAAAAGATACCTTTTGTTAATATTACAAACAAATATGCTAATATGCAAGTTTAAAGAAATTCGGGAAACGGATTTTAAAAAAATCGATTTTTTCAAACTTTCGACACCCTGTATCTCGAAAACTAAGCATTTGCTGACCTATGTTTCTATCAACTTTTTTCTTATTTTAATGAGTACTATTTATCCTAGAAGTTTGATCGCACTATTTATTAACACCCTTTTATCAGTTTAATGAGTACTATTTATCATAGAAGTTTGATCCCACTATTTATTAACACCCTGTATATCCCTGCATAATTCCTGAAGAGAGGAGATCTTGCCTTAACGGCAGAGTCTTTCAATTTCACGTGTTAATTCTCTATCTATACCGATCGTGCTTTGCATTAGAATCCAGACCTGAGAACTTAAGCTATCTACATGCCTCAATGACGGACATTGCATGGGTGGTAGGTAATCCATGGCTATTTAGGTTGAGTGCTGCGTATTGGTGGAGTTGTTCGGGCAGCTTGTGTAAGAAAATTTTTAAATATTAACCAGATATTATTAGAACATTTTGACCGGAAAGAGGCAGGGACCGGCAGGGTTAAGTACCCCTGTTGAAAGATTCCGCTTAGAACGTGGACGTATCTTCTCACAAAGAAGCAGTTGATGATCTGAGCCATGAACCACCAATCGGAACCTGGTAGAGTTTTACAAAGACTAATAGATTACCTCCATCGTGTTCCAACCTAAATGAAATCGATTTGATTGCGATAATGTCCGCCGGTGTATCCCAGGTATACAGACGTCGTGGATCTTGTGCAAACAAAAGGTGTTGGCAATAGAGAACTGTAACTCTAGCAGACAGAATTTATCAATATGTGTTCTAGGATATTCATCTTCTACTTTTTGACCAACTTATGCGTGGGCTCTCCTCTCGCCACCCAAAAGCCAACACCATTGATGCTTTCATGGGATTGCCCCAAAAGCAAACGAAATTGTCACTGTTGGAGGTGATAAGTGTCCTGCGTCTCCATAATGAGTCTCAAACAGGCTAGCGATCGTAATATAACTGCTTGTAAGCACTTCTTCAAGAAGAGAAAGGCTTTACCTGTCGCTCGAAGACCTCTGACGTTCCATGTTCACCGACGATGTTTGCGGCGAATCTCGAAAGTTTCATCAGTAATCAGTTTCGCACAAGTACCCTGATGATCGTACTTCTTGTGCCCGGTCGTCAATTTCACACTGACGCCCCCGGATCAGGAAAAGCTATCCGAAGCTTCACTGTTGATATCTGTACTCATTTTACGTGTTTCTCTTGGGATGTCAAAGCAGATCTTTAATGCAGTAGAAGAAGTCTCCCAGTTGCTTTCCGCATCCTCATGCCGTTGTTCAGATATCGGTTCATTCGCCTTTAGGGACATTTTCTCATCCGTTGAACAAGATAGTGCCCTGACTCTAATCAATGGTACTCCTGTTGTTTGACAAGACGGTACTGCTGATACCGGCAGGATTTCGGTAATCTAAGATTCTAATCCACTCCCACACGTCCCACGTCATACTTATCGTTAATTGAACAAATTTTTCAATCATGTTACATACCTAGGTAGGTAGGTACTTTCTCTTTAATCTAGCTGTTTTTTTTTAGGCTGATTCCGACCTACAAAATAAAAAGTAATAAGTAAATATAAATTAGGTCTAGCGGGTTTATAAATTAGGAATTTACTCTGTTGGAAAGATAACGGAATTATATAGAAGAATTTGCGTAATAACCCAATTTATAAGACGAATTTAATATTGAAAAACCAAAATATTGCCACACAAATTGCGACACGAGAAGAAAAAGCAACTTTCTCGTCTTTCTCAATGGGCCCATTTACTGAATTCAAATTTTTAATAATAATTTCTTCAAACATCATGATGGATAATAATAATATCATCTCAAGCAAAAATAATGAATTGGTTGTTGTTACAGATTAAAGTTTCAATCTGTGAAGTATTTTGTGGTTTTATTGCTTCACAAAAAATTGTTATCAAAGTCTCAAGGATATACCTACTGATTTGTTAAATTGCAATTATTTTCTAGGTCAAAGAAAGCCAATTAAATGGAACACCTTCATCGAGATCTGTTTCAAATACTTAAGAATCCACCCTCTGTCGGACATCAACTGGTACCCGGATGGTTCCGTGACGGCCTCCAGATCTGTTAATTTTTTCAAAAGATATTTATTCCATTGGTTACCTGCCTACCTCATAGATTCGGTTGTCTGGGTTACTGGCGGCAAACCTATGTAAGTAAACTTCGATGATCAATTATTCATGGTACTAAAATAATAGTTATTTTTCTACAAACGTCACTAAAAGTGTCATTTTTAACGGATGCTGTCAGTGTCTAAAATGCCATTTTATGACACTGGTGTTAAAAGTGATTACTTTTAGCACTAGTACACTAGTGCTAAAAGTAATCACTTTTAGTGCGTTTGTAGAAAAATTAGTGTATGATATAAGTGCTAAAAGTGATTTTATTTTGTTCAAAGGGATGGAACACTCCGCCTTCGGCGTCGTGTCCCAAACTTCCCTTTTCACAAAATAAAATGTCACTTTTAGCACTTATATCATAAATAACTATTATATCCTATTCACAATCCGATGTCCACAGGTACAGGTAAATTTATCACCTTTCCCTATCAAATTGCATTGAAAGGTGATAAATTTTACCTGCACCTGTGGACATGGGATTGTGAACGGATAATACATTACAAGTGCGTTTATGAACATGATTACAATAACTAGTGTGACACGAGTTTTGTAGTCATGTTTAAACGCACGTGTGATATACAATATTTTATCTACAAAGCGAAAAATAAGAATATTTTATCAATTATTCTCGTTTATTAGTAGTTGTCTACCTTCATTTTACCTTAAGGGCCAAATTATGGACCGACTGATAAGTGTCAGGTTGTTACCTAACAGGTACTTTCTATTCTCTAGAGCATGGAAAGTAATAACCTGACACCTATCAGTCGGTCCATAATTTGGCCCTTACAGGTTTAACTTTGACATTTGTCAAATCATCAAAAATAGTTGTATTATAGATTTATAACCCAGTCCATAACACAACTAGTTGTGTTATAAATTCGTAACCTAGTCCATGACACAACTAGTTGTGTTATGAGTCTTATGACATAACTCAAATACTACAAAAATGGTTATGTAAAAACGTCATAACCAAACGCTTGTAGATGAAAAAGAATTATGTTTTCCAGTTTGCTTAAAGTCCAAAACAAACTTAACAAAGCGGCGAATTGTCTCGAATACTTTACGACGCAAGAATGGGAATTCGATGACGAAAACGTCCGCTCGCTGAGTCTGACTTTAACAGAATCCGACAAAACAGAGTTTTGCTTTGATGTGGCGAAAATCGACTGGGAGAAGTATTTAGAAAATTACGTTTTAGGTATTAGAAGGTAAAAACTACAAAAATCTAATATTGAAAAATTCTAATCTCGATTTTATAGGTTTATCTTTAAGGAAGACACCTCTTCGATTCCCAAAGCCCAAAGACAAATTTCAAAGTTGTACATTTTTCATCGGCTTCTACAAATTGTTAGCGTTATGATTGCGTGGCACTTTTTAGCACTCAGGTAAAAATAGTCTTGCAGTTGTAAATTTATAAAACTAATTTGGTATTAAATAGGTACGCCCCCTTGCGGCGATTGTGGTCAAACGCACTCCGGTTACTGCTGCACCTAGCTAGTATGCTGCCATTTATGTAAAAATAAGTTAAAACATTTATTTGTCAAGTTATAAAATTGTACGATTGGAATAATCGAGAACTTTGTTAATGGAAAATGTGGTTTTTTGTATGTGAAACCAAAATATTTATTGCTTATTCGTTGCAAAAACGTGTCTACAAAAAACCCTCCACAAAGTTCTAGTTTTTGGACAAAAATAACATTATTTTCACTGGACGCAATAGGATTTGTGCTCAATTTTAGCAAAAAGTGGCTCGATTAGTGTCTTAAAGCTCAAGCGCATGCATTTTTATTCAATCATAACTACAAAAAAATGGTCCTATTGCGTTGAAGTGATCGCTAATTTTTTGGGAAATTCAAATATTGAAACGTTGCTATTTTTTTCCTATTAAATAAAAGTCTTCTGAGATATTTTTAGCGTGCTTCCAATTAATTGGCTTCCTTGAAAGCTAAATTTAAACGCACAAAATATACCTATAAGAGGGTCAAAGTTGGATGTTTTGATGAAGCAAATCGAACATCTGCTCAATACCCTTTTTTCGGGATTAGAGGCCAAAAAAAAAGTTAATTTTATGATTTAATATGTTTGATGAGGGTCAAAATTGTAATATTCTTGCAAAATTTCTCATCCTAAGTTAAGGAAAGAAATCTCAGTCGTGTAATGTAATTTTGAAAGATGTTAGGAGATCAAAGACAACTACCACAGGCATTGAAAAAAAAGCTTCCAATGCTCTAGAAGATCTTCCTAGGATATTTTAAAGCAAATTTCTGGAAATGTCTACGGACTATTGGAGGAGTATTTCTAGGGACGCTAAAAAATAACTTCTAATGACATTCAAAGGTGAATTTTCAGGGAAATTCCTCCAAAAAGAACATTTAAGATAATTCCTAGGGCCTAAAAAAAATCATGCAACTCTTTAGAAGATTTAAAAAAAAAAAAAACTGCGAAATTTATTAAGAAGCACAAGTGCAATGAAAGTGAAAATATGGTATTAACAAAATCTGTTTCTCAAGCTTGTTTTTTGCCTCTGCAAACTATGGAGGACTAGAGAGTTTTCTGAATAATTAGCTATAAATGAATTACAAATATCACTGTCTCCTGATTGTTTTGGATTCATTCCATTCAGTATTGTGTATTTATCAATTTATTTTTCTCATTCTATAATAGAGATAAATAGTAACGTTTCTGCATGCTTACTTTTAAAAAAATATATATATTTGTATTGTTACAATATTGGCTTTGTTTTTAGGTGATTTATTGATATAAATGTCGATTTTATATAGAGTTTCGTTTTTTGGAAATCGCTCATTCCAAGCTGGTTTAATGTGTTTCGGTTGCTCCATATTTTTTTTTTTTTTTTTGGGAAATTGACTACATAATTGCATTCTCTGAGTCAATTTCCTCAAAACAAAATAAATAAAGGAAGAAGTTTTTTTTACCATTTTTAGTTGAAGGAGTATTTTTCTGTTCCTAAACGCAGTTTTATTGTCTATTTTGTTCAATAATTCCGTAAGTCTCAAGTGTTCGTTAAATATATAACAAAATATATAAAAAGATTTAGAAGTGCTGTGCACAGAAAACTTGTATAAAAAAAAACGCATTTATGCTAAATAAGTCTTTTTTGTGGGTTTTTAATTTTTCGACATTTCCCTTGCAAAATACTGTATGGCAAATTGTCAAATAATGCTATATTGATAAACTTTTAAGCAAATCCAAGGAAATGTTGAAAAAGTGACCCAAATTTTTTTTATTGTGCTGACTCTAGGGGCGGTTCTATAATAATAAATAGATGTTTTTTAAATATTTTAAAACCGAATCAGATTATTTCTTTGATTTCAAGCGTCATAATTTAATAAAAATATCGCTGCTGTGCTGTTTTATAATCGAATTTCAAATTATCTGATACGGTGCTGTAGCCTTGATTGATGTCAGATTAGATAAAATAATTAAATTGGATTTTTGTTTTCAATAGTAATATAACTAGTGCAATGGAAATTATTGATAATTTTTGGAAAATTTGCCCGAATGCATTTTTAGTTGAAAAAGAGCACGAGTGCACGTAGTGCACGCGTTTGTGCTAATTTGTCGAAAATTATAAATATATTTCCATTGCACGAGTTGTATTTAATGAGAGAATTTCATAAATCAAAAATTTAAATTTTTTGTCAAAAAATGTCAAAACACCAGTTTTCGCACCAGTTAGTATGCAATTATCTGATAATTTGCACTAGTGCAAATTATCGCGTAATTACAATCTGATTGGTTCAAATCAACAATCAAATATGTCAATTTATTGTTGGAATACCAGTTTTGACAGATGTATGAAATTCTCGAATGTAATACCACAAGAGGTTTCAGGATTACCGGATAATACTTTTACCTGTCACGAAACGCGTTACGCAGTAACACCACGACTCCGAAGGAGGAGTGGTGTTGCTGGTAACGCGTTGAGTGTCCGGTAAAAGTATTAGGTAATCCAGAAACATTGAGTGGTATTCAAAAGGTTATACAACGAACTAAACTTTAATTCTTTAATAATTAATGATTTCATGAATCAAAAATTTAATTTAAATTTTTTGTCAAAAAATGTCAAAACACCAGTTACCGTGCAAAAGGATTATCACTTCTTAAGCCTCTCCTGTCATATGGGAAGGATTATCACTTGTTAATCCTCTCGTGTCATATGGGAATAATGTACAGTGAGTTGTATAATCATAATAATTTCTCTAATTTGACATAAAGGCGCAAATTATTTACTAGGGGATGATAGAAAATGCGTGCGTTTCTCCCTCGGTAGTATAATTTATTTTTACCATTTATACTAGTCTTATAAATAGCCAGATGATACAAAAAAAGCGGGGAGTAAAAAAAGTGCTTGATTTTTTTTTTAAATAAATTATTATTTATATATTTAGTGTCTTAAGTATAGTATAACAGTGGTACCGTTATACTCGGTAAAAATTTGTTGACGAGTAACCAAAAAAGGGGAATATTTGCCAAATTAATTCACTGTTTTTTATCTAAAAAAAAAAATATTGATATAGAAGCAAATCTAGGATTAAATTTTAACAAAAACCTAAATGGGTGATTGGTAATGGTTGTTGCTTCATTAAAACCATTTTAATATTATTATGTATTTTGTAGTTTTCATTCATTTTTTAAGTTGATATAATTTATTTTATACATTTTACCGTTGTTGCTGAAACATGATTTTTATTTATATTTAACTTAATGACAAACTGATTGTACGTTTCTTGCAGAAATAAAATTAGATATTGTTTAAATAATTTGAGTTTGATTTGCGCAAAATTTGGTTGACGCCATCCATACTAGAATCGTCAAACTAACGGTTTGTGATAAATTTCACTAGATGTTCAACCGGCGGAAAATAACCTTTTTCCGGTTACATTTTACTAAAAAATAACCGGCCCGGTCAGTGACGGCTCGTCAGGGGAGGCGGCGGGCTGCCTCCCTTAACATAAAAGTCACGGGCCGACACTGGGCCCGGTTGGTTAACCGACGTAAAGTTAAAAGGGGCGTTCAAATAAAATGTCATTTAGACTACTTCTCAGTAAAATGAAGTTATGTTCATTACAATAATAGATTGGAGTAGGAGTCGACGCATTTTTGGTTGCAAAATACGCAGTTAAATAGTAAAATTATAAGGTCTGCTTTTGCAGAAATCACAAATCAGTCAGAGTGAATTTCATTGGTTGAATCTAGTTTTCTGACTGTTTTCAATCAATGAAATTCACTTTGACTGGTTTGTGATTTCTGCAGAAACAGACCTATTAACAATGGGGTACTTGCATCAATTTTTTTTATCGCTGATTTCGTTAGTCGATAAAAAATAAGTCACCACGTGTTTTTTCTTTTTCTTCTTAGTCAAAAATTGATGGAGATACGACGCTATGTATTATGCCTATGACGTCACTTATCATATAAATTAATGACGTCGCACATGCTCAGTATATCTATATATACAAAACTTAATATTTGTATTAGGTCTGATTCTGCAGAAATCACAAACCAGTCAGAGTGAATTTCATTGGTTGAAACGGAATAATCATATTTGGGCAAAATAAAAAAATACGTATTGATTTTTTTTCGATTTCCTACAGTTTGCAATAAACAATAATCATATACAGGGTGTCACGAAAGGTTTGTTACAAACTTCTAGGGATGGTAGATCTCGTAAAAATAAAACTTTTCTCTTGATAAACATGTGTCCGGAAATGCTTCATTTTCCAGATATATAGGGTGGCCCAAATTTGAGCCTCATCATTGGGATCTCGGTAACCGTAAGAGATACGGGGTCGGTTAAATTATGGCAAAGTTGCGCAATTTTATGACCAATAGAATACCGTTTTGAAACTAGAAAGATTCCGAATACTTCCGGAGATATTCGGAAAAAACCAAAATTTTGTAAAATCATTTTTATTTTTTCCCGGGCTTATTTGAAAAGCAATTTTAAAATGAGTATCACTTCATCGTTGTCACTTTTTCTCCTTTAGAAGATGGTGCTACTAAATTTAAAATTCGACGTTTCGTCTTCAGGCGGCCATCCTCAACTTCCTTTTTTTAAATACGGACCTGGATTTTTTTTGCGATTTTGTCATCTTTGCGCATCCTAAAACCGATACTGTTTATAATTTTTCAATAACAGCAAAAAAAGCAGGTCCGTATTTTAAAAAAAATAATGATGATTTCAGAGGAACGAAACATTGGATTTTAAATTTAATACCGCCAGTGGCGGATCCAGGATTTTCTTCAGGGGGGGGCGCAGGTTTAGAATTATCAACAATGATTTTTTGAAAATTTATTTTCACTTTACTTATACGTTAAAGAATGTAGGAGGTACAGGGTGGTCCAATTTGGAGACTTTTTATATGACACGTCAATTTCTGAGCCAGATATAAAAAAATGAACCCCCCCTCTGAGGCTCAAATTTCATGAAATCTTAATTGCTGCAAACACTGCAAACCGCCTTTTGATACCCTCAACCGTTTTGCCATCTATAGAGGATGTTTCTCGATTTTGAGCAATAAGGTGAAACCTTCCTAACTTTTTTATTTATGAAAATAATTGATTTCTATGTAAACTTCTTGGGGGTACTTTTTTAAGCAGAATTCAATGACGTACTCAATTTTTTATTTTCGTCTTATTTTTTTAATAAAATAAAACCCTATAGGTATATTACCTAGTAACTCATTGATAGCTCTATTATTGCTTATTTTAAAGGTCCATCTCTAGCAGTTTTCTCAAAAAAAAATTATAGATGTTTTAATCAAAAGAAACAATGTGTTAGGAGACCTTTCTCATTTTCCTTATAGATATAAATTCGTCGTATCCGGTGTCCCATCAAAACAATCGGACTTTGGTTATCCTAATAACACCGATCTGCCAGAAACATCCCATTTATGTCCTTATGTTTCCGACATAAATGGTACATCGCTACGATGTTTCTAATGCAAGATTTCTAGGATGATTGTCCTGAAATGTTTTAGAAACATCCTTTCAAAAATAGGTACCTATCTATCGACAAAAGATTTTTTGGTTCTCAAAATTAGATAGGTACCTACACTTAAAAAATTAATAAATTTATTTTATTTTCTACCTAACTATTATAGATCTATAATACCTAGGAAACGGAATACGTTACCATACCTATAACAACCTGAGGGCATTATAAGCCCAGCGGACGGTATGGTATGATCTATAACGCCCGCTTATAATGCCCTGAGGTGTTTTTGTTGTTGTTGTTTTATTAATTTGCACTTTACCCTAGGCAGCCACTAAATTGATGAAAGAACCTTGTGTTGAGTAGAAAATAAAGCATTGTATGCACCACGGGGATTTTTAGATTATAATGCCATTCAGGCGGAATTTATCCCTCGGGCCAGAGGCCCTCGGACTAGTTTTGCCTTCGGGCATTATAATCTACATAATCCCCTTGGTACATAAATAGCTATTACAAAACTAGGTAGGACCACTGGTAGGACCCAGGTATTAAATTTGCCAATTTTGTATGGTTTCTACAAACGTCTCTATCACACACACACAAACTAATTTGAAATTCTAATATCTCGAATTCGGGAACAAATAGAAAAAAAACGAGAAAGTCACTGGATTCTCGCCACAAAACGGATCAAGATATCATAAAATTTGAGCCTCAGAATGGGGGTTGATTTTTTTGAATCTCGCTAAGAAATTGACGTTTTCTATTAAAAGTGTCCCGAGAAATGTCCAAACAACCCTGCACATATCAAAAAACCGAAAATAACAAATAAAAGAATAAAAATTTATCTGATAAAAACAAAACGATACCTAAATTAAATAAGAGTGTAGCTTGGAAAATTTTCACATAACATTTTATTGGATAATTTTTCTATGAACTTTTATGAAAAATTCTTTTATAAAATTTTTCTATGATTTAAAAAAAAAAATTGTAGTTTTTGAGGCTCTCAGGGGGGGCGCGCGCCCCCCCCCCCCCTGTATCCGCCACTGAATACCGCCATCTTGTAGAGAAGAAAAAGTGACAATGGCAAGGTAAAAATAGTTTTCCACAATCTTTTTAAAATAAAATCAGGAAAAAATGAAAACATACGAAAAAAAACATGAATTTCTCGTTTTTCTTAAATTTTTTCCTTTCCTTCATTTAAAAAGATTTTGAAAAACTAATTTCACATTCCCATTGTCACTTTCAATTCTTTCCAAGATGGCAGTATAAAATTTGAAATCCGACGTTTTTCAAATACGGACCTGCTTTTTTACCGTGTTATTGAAAAATTATAAACAGTATCGGTTTTAGGATACCCAAAGATGACAAAATCGCAAATAAAAAATCTAGGTTCGTATTTAAAAAACGTAAGTTAAGGATGGTCGCCTGAAGACGAAACGTCGAATTTTAAATTTAGTACCACCATCTTCTAAAAGGGAAGAAGTGACAATGATAAAGTGACATTTATTTTAAAATTGCTTTTCAAATAAGCCCGGGAAAAAAAAAAAAAACGATTTTTCAAAATTTTGTTTTTTCCGAATATCTCCGGAAGTATTCTTAATCTTTCTAGTTTCAAAACGGTATTCTATTGGTCATAAAATTGCGCAACTTTGCCATAATTTAACCGACCCCGTATTTCTTACGGTTAACGAGATCCCAATGATGAGGCTCAAATTTGGGCCACCCTATATATCTGGAAAATGAAGCATTTCCGGACACATGTCTATCAAGAAAAAAGTTTTATTTTTACGAGATCTACCATCCCTAGAAGTTTGTAACAAACCTTTCGTGACACCCGGTATAATACCACAAGAGAAAACAATTTGTTGGCAAAATTTTCGACTGGTATGAAAGTTTGTTGCTTGGCAATAGGAATGTTCACTATTTTTCAATTGTAATAAAAAGTGGTAGTTGTAGTCCACAAAACACGCATTAAACGTTAAAACAGCTAGAAACCCTTAATTTTTTCTAATAAATCGAAAACAAAAAAACGAAATTAACGAGGCTAGCAAAACGACCCCTTGCGGCGAGAGTAGCGCTTGTGACGTCACGTTGCGGAATTATTTACGATATAATAATTGCCTACAATGTATTTGTCTCTCTTCCGCTCATTGTAAACAGTATTTGGACAATTAATAGAGTTCACTATTCAGGGTGCTTCCTAACATTCAATCACCAATTAGTTCATCAGTATCTTTATCTAAATGCATATGAAAGAAAAAGACACTTATAGTAATAATAATATTAATATTTTTTATTGCCAACAAAAATCGCAGAAGCAACGTCACAAAAGGCTGATCCAAGTAGAAAGTAGCGCCACTGTACTTGCGCGCGCTAACTCGTTACACATTATGACGTCAGCGAGCGTTTCTTGCTTTTAAACGAATATTGATATTTAGTCTCCGTTTTTCTCATAAAAAGAATTTTCTGATTTTCGTAAAATTTTGTAAAGGACCCCGCAATATTTAAATGGAAATTGGTCACCCGTGATATTTAAATATGTTATTGGGGATGCCGTAAGCAACATTTTTTACCATGGGCACAACCCTGTATATATGACAGGTGAGGCGTGGTTAGCTGTCAAATATTGGAATCTTATATCCAAAAGCAGAGTAACTATGGCAGATTTTGATGAACAAAAAATCTATTTCTACTAAGTTGACCAAGTTAAGTCGAAAAATGTCAACCGTTTTAACACCTGTCAAAACCCTGCCAAACGGCAGCACTCATCTTTTCCAGTTTTCAATATTTTATGTTGTCATTTGACATTTTTAACTTATATGAAAA